GATAAACTACCGGGCTTCGAAGAAGGATCCCCCTGAGGTTCTCTTGTTGTCTGCCTCGTCATTCTCCAGACAAGCCTGTGAAGGATCCCCCTGAGGTCCTCTTGTTGTGTGCCTCGTCATCAACGTACCTCTCAGGAGGATGTTTTTAATAGGAGTGGGATATGATAATTTTTAAGATTTATTTTGTCAAAAAGGTCCTCAATATGCTTCTCCTCCTAGATTTACTACACTCTATACACAACAAACATAATTACTTTTAAATGATTTATTTAAGATCCTTGAACAAAATTGTTTTCTATGAAATATGATTTTCAAAGAACAAATAGTCTTGTGTTGACCATTTTGTAATGTATTCCCAACATGGACAGTTAAGGTAGCAAAAATGTAAATTGGATAAACGTTGTAGATTTATTACGTTATATATTTGGAACGGTATTGGTTGTTTTTAAACACTCTACCTTCTCCACAATGTCATCATTGTTTGAGTTGTGGGAGTATTGTGTGATGTATTTGTTAAATGCCAGGGGAACATTATACAACGTATATCGACTCACCTGGTTAAACACTGGTATAAAACAATGAAGCGTTTTATGACAAGGCGATCCAGTACAAACCTGCCTAGTGTTTGTATACAATCCTACCCATTATGACAGAATGATTTACTCAATCTGCAATAAAGAAAATTTGGAAACTGGGACGACAGAAATAACTGACATCTTAATATAGCCTGGATGAGTAGCTATATATAAGTTTACCACAACATTACCAGCTACAAGCAGATCCCAGTATACAGAGATAGTTGCCAAGATGGGGCATACTCTGAGACCTAAAACAGGCACTAGAGTTCTTAGCTTCAGCTATTTATACACCCAAGAGTTTGGGATGTCTAAAATAGCTTCCCTGTGACTCAAACATTTGTGGGAGATGGACTATCTAGTGCATGTGTGTGTTTGTTTTTGTTGCATCATTACATACATGTTTTGTACCAGGAGTTTCATGCCAAATAGCCATCAGTCCATATGTACCTGCCCATTATCACCTGTCCTGTGTATCTCCCTTGCTTACCTGTATCCTACTGGCAGGTGTGCTTGTCTCCTTGATGAACTGATTGTCACTATTTTCACTTAGATTGACTGTTTAGACTCAATCAATTAATGGTCATTACACCATCCCTGTAGCTAGGGGTTCACTAACACTATACAGATATAGAGGTCTCTAGAGGTTTCTGAAATAAATAAAGAGCTCTTTATAAAGGAGTTCTTTAAATAGAGGTCTTTATATAGAGGTTCTTGAAATACAGAGGTCTTTATCTAGAGGTTCTTTAGATACATATGTCTGTATACAGAGGTTTTCTTGAAATAAAGATGTCTTTATGTACAAAGTGTTTATTTAGATGTTCTTCAAATGCGTGTCTTTATAAAGGGGTTCTTGAAATAAAAAGTTCCATAGAGGTTCCTCTTATACCTGACTTATATGAATCCACACTGGGATAACCCTTATCCATATCAACAAGCTAAATAGTTTTTTTCTGCTATAGAGATTTGTAGACACCAGGATCAATTTGATGCTATTGGGTGAGATGCAAGACAGCATGTGACACAAAACATCAGGTGACTGAACACAGATTTATCTTATACCTCGCCATTCATGATCTGAAGTTATTGTCGGATTGTCACTGAACAGCAGAGTTGTGTCAGATTGGTTTTATTGGAGTTTCCTTAGCCAGATCACTTAATTAATATGACCTTTCTGAAGTTATGAAATCATGACAGAAATAAAGATTACTCAAATCTCAAACTTTACAACGCTTGCTACTTATTGCCCGATGAAACCTTGAAGTAATCAGTTTGCTTTTATCCTCAAGGACATCAGATGGCTTTTGTCCTAGGCTGTGATTGGACTGACCCTCCCCAGGTCAACAAACTTCCTCTTACTAAATGTTAATTACCACAACGAAAGCTTCTAGTCTGGAGTGGTAAAACCTCTACTCTAACCAATCAGCCAGTTTGGCAAGGACAGTCTAAATGAGAAAATCCTTTTGTTGTTTAGAAAAAGCAAAAATTCGTAGATAAAAGCCTGCTTAATTACAAGTGATAGATACCCTGCAGTTAAGTTAAAATGTAAGCTATTTTACCTCCATGGAATTTATCCATGTGTGTATTTGTTGAATTAGTCTTAATGCAATTTCCATTGTTTTTACTAAAAGGTAGAAGTGTGTACTTGGGCAGAAACACCGGTAGAAATTACAATGCCTAATTCCTTCATCACCACACCAATTAAGTTTGTAGCTTTAACTCACAAAAACATTATCTTCGCACCATCCTGAAATTATCCCTCCCCAGGAAGGCATTCTGACGGATAACATATTGCCACGCACAAGTCCAATCCTAAAGACTTGTCATTGTGAGTTATGTCCCCTGGATGGGGACATAGGTGGTGCTAATTAATGTGACCTTTGACTGGGCGTTCTCGGGCGACTATGTGGCTGTTGCCCTGTGCTGCTGTGATCTATCGCCGCTCAGAACCTGTCTCCCTGCTAATGTATTTCTGCATTAACTTCAGTATTGTGCAAGCTTTGGTGCTGGGTGATTCCACCTGGCTGGCTTCTGAATGACTTAATGATGAAAATTAGGCAATGCTTTGTAAGCCATGACAGAAATCTATTTATCAATTTCATGGCACAAGTCCATGAGAATTGTCACACTTCAGACTTGTAGTTTTGTTTCCCGTCTAAAGCCTGTTAAATTTTGCAAAACATATTCAAATTGAATGAGGTATATTTGTTAACAATTGACAACATATTTATGGCATACTGTGGTATGAACACTTATTGACAGAACTGTTGCAACATGTCGGTTGTAATTAGGGTTTCAACAATTCCTAAAAGACTGCAGTATTTTTTTAGTGGAAATACTATCCATCCTGGTTTCAATCAGAGTTTTTTCCCGTCTGAATAACTTCACCATTTTAATTATTTTGTTTGTATTTGCTGTAAATGATTTATTTTGTGCAGAATTCAATTTATGCTCATTCCTAATGAAGTTGTTACTAAGTGGTTATATACCATTACCTCAATGTTAGCTCAAACCAAGCTAGAATGTCACACCAATTAACATACTGCTATTTTTAGGCATTGTTTTGTGAACATACATTTTACGTGACTTTGCCATTTTCAAAACTCTGAAATGAATGGTTATCAACACATATTCCTATTTCCTCTTCGTCTACTAGTCCCTCTGTACATGTAAGCATTACCAGAAAAAATTGCACTCCTAGAGCTATGAATGAAATTTGATCAGCTTCTCCTGCCACCTTGAATAACATAGGCTTCATGGAATAAGTACCATAAAAACTCGTGTAATCTGCACACTTATTTTGAGAAATTTAATACCTAAAGTGGGGGGTGCGCAAAATACATAAGTGTAAGCAATTTTAAGGTTTTTTTTAAAGAATAGATTGAGGATTTTGGCAGACCGCCTTATTGGACACAAGAGATTATCTCCCTTGGTACACTGAACTCAATGACGATCAACAAATTTATTTTTGTCAAACATCAATAAAAGATACATTTGATACATAATGTGTTGTTTACCTGCTGTAACCGGAATGCTATTCAACCATATATAAACTTGATTTTGTGGGTAATTCATGAGCTTGTAATGCTGCCCTGTTAAACCTAAAACGTATCAACTGATGATTACACACCATCATCACATTTGTATGCAGGTCTCATATTTCGCCATCGTTCTTGGTGTACCAGACATTTTGTTGTTTTTTTTACATAGAGGACATAAAGATTAAATTTATGGCGTTAATATGCATATGATCAACACTCGTAAGTCACATTAACGCGTGTGACAATTAGAACGGAGGTGTACACTCATTAGACGGTGGGTCACGGTGATGGATATATTTACCTGACACATTAGGCGGTAATTAGTGAATACAAATGGACAAAAATTAGTGGTGATTAAGTAATGAAAGCGGAACATTACCTTGTCATATTTAAGGAGGAGTGCTCCAGGTCACACCTGTCCATAAATCCTTAGGATTTAGTGTGTGGTTGGTAATAGAGGCTCATGCATGGTCATACATGACACGGAGTTGGATGATAGCTCATAATCGCCATTCGTTTTCATTATGGTGTTGGCCCTTAAAATCATGTTGTAATTTCAGAATTGTTAATTTAAATATGTAGGTGGGGTCCGTAGGTGTAGATCATTGACTATTATTGTAGCAATAACTGCATAGATATTGCATACCTACAAGTATAACTGCAACATGTGACAAACAGAATGGTGTGCAGTCGTGCACCATTCAGTTTGTCTGCGACACATGTTGCAGTTATGCCAGAAGGTCTGCAACATCTAAGCAGTTTATTGCTTATATTTTTGTTTTTACTATGAAAAATACAAACAGGATTTATGCTTTTCTCTACCAAAATAACTGGGACAGTAACTGAGGAGCACCGTACGTCACATGCTGTTTCATGCACAAAATCAAAATATGACACAAAGATACCATATCTGACTCATTTCTTTTTAATTTAAGGAAAATAAATATTTCTTGAAATAAATAGAATTATCATATTAAATAGCATTGATTAAAGTGCATGAGGAACGCTTTGAATAATGTTTTTTCAAAAAACTATTTTCCAAATGCATAGTCACACAATCATAGCGGCCCCCTGTAGATCTGGGGCTATGTATTCATACACTGCAAATAGGAGCTGCAGTTATACTCCCATAACTGAACCTCCACATAGAATGGATATAGAAGGCTATTAATTGCCACACCAAATGAAAATATACTACATTAAGATACATTGAGAGTTGGACTCATTACTGACCATTGCATTTGATAATTTAGATAATTTGATATTTATTAAACAAGGATGCAAGTACTGCAACATGATCTTCGATGACAACGATTTTCATGTTTATCTTGGCAATGATCAATAATGCTAATTCTCACAGACACTTAATACTTGTATGTTGCAGTCATTAAACAAAAAGGACCACAAAGGATGTGACAGCCCCGACCCCGAAACTGACCCCTACAGCCATCCGCTGACCCCTGAGGAGAAATACAGTCGCATGAATGAGGAATACCAGAGAGTCATGCATCAGAACTCAATGAGGGTACATACAACCTTAAACATTCACCAATATGTAAAAGTCTAGTTATAGCAAACTACTATCAATCCTGTCAGTTTGGAAATGAAATGAGTTCAATTAACGTTAGTGACAGTTGTAATATCTTATGTTTAAGGTGATAGCTTTGTAGACAAATTCTCTTGGCCAGAATGCTTGAAACATATGATAGATTTGAAACTAAACAAGGATGATGATGAACTGACCGTTTTATTGTGTAATGTATGATTAAGGGTAAGATATCAGGTTAATAGGCCAAGGAACAAAATGACTGTACGAATTCCGGTAAATGTTGTGTGTAGTGATAAAAGTAAATATTTGTTAGAGCGTTTTTTGGGGGTGGTCTAGTCTGTGGTTGGACACACAGATTGTGTAGGTGTTGAGTGTCAAGGAAGGTTGATGAAGTGGTTGTTAGCCCAAGAAAAGGAACAGTGGTTCCAGGAGAGTTTTGTACACACTCTCGGTAAATATTGGCTCCGAGGTGTTCCTAGTGTTTACCTGTGACAGAGTGAAGGGGACAAGTTATTTACCAGGGACCATGAGGGGCCAGAGAATTTGATCCTGTCATGTTTTTGTATAGTATTAGTGTTCAGTAAACACTGTTACAGGCTGGGTAGCAGCCCACCACACTTGTATGCACACACCTGGCATTTACTGCTCAAAAACATGTTCTAGGGTCAGGTCACTAGAGTGAAGGGGACACAGTTGTAGAACAAGTGGAGGGGGGCTAGAACTCTTAACAGTGTCACTCTCGAATTCTAGTATACCATATATTAAACTCTTAAAAATATCATTTATTGAAGAATTGGACATGCCATTGCCAATTAAGATACTTCTCAAATTGTCAGGGTCCAGACAAATTACTTGAATAATGTAGTATTTTTTGTTAATATCTAACATATTAATGTAGCGAAACTTGACAAGGTCGATCGTCGGTGACCAGGTAGCTCAATCGGTAGAGTGTCCGTCTAGAGTTTGGAGGGTCCCGGTTCGAACCCTGGTCTGGCTGTAACATTTTCTCTTTCTCCTGTTACATTAACAAAACCTTACCCCGTATCTAATTTTATATCACTTATTTTACAGCACGGAATGTCACCGTACCCTAACCCAGGCATGCCTCCTGGTGTCACATCAGGGATGCCTTTACACAACCCCACCTACATGAGTCAGTCGCCCATCCCTCAGGGGCACGGGATGTCTCCCAACCCCAACGGAAACCCTAACCTGCTCCACCCACCTGTGGTCCATCCCAGTGGCAGCCCCAGACCCAACTCTACAGGTTAGTATGCCTTACTCTGCCTTTCTAAGAATTTCCATCATTCCATTCTGTGGGTTTTCATAGAAGCTTTTCAGACTAATCACTCAGACTAAAAAGACAATTTCAATCAACAAAGTCTTTGATTATAGTGCATGTCATGATATTTCTTCTAATTGATTACCTTCAGATTTATTATTAAATGAAAGTGAGGTACAGAGACACTTCACAAGTGAGATAGCATATCCCAGATGTGTACCATTTGTTTCTAAAAAACCATTGTACTGGAATAAAATTTTGAATTCTTTTTTCCCGTTTGAAATGCATGGAATAAAATGATTTTTTTTCTTACTACTTGACAGGAGGCATGGTGGATATGTCTGTGAACTCCCCCGCTAATGGCTACCATCATCACAGTTCTCCGTGCCCCTCCCCTGGGGCAATGGGAAACAAAGGCATGTCTCGACAATCCCCACCTTCGAGGGGTCCACACAGCGTACGACCCATGATGCACAGCAACAGAAATGACATGATGAGCCCAGACGTAAGCTAGAGTTGTCTCTTCTTGTTGTCTACCAGGAAGTTCTCCATAACATACAATATATCATATCTATTTAGGGTGATGTTCTCATACCATAACCTCAATTTTCCTGTGTATTTTAACTGATCCTCCCACGGAATGCTATAAGATATATAACTTAACTCACTAGACAAGCAGTACATTTGTCTGTACACCTGGTCTAAATACAGACAACAAAATTCAACAGAAATCACCTGTAGATTTATACTTTGTATTATGTATTTGTCAAAAAATTATTTCATCTCGTACAGAACCGTCAAGACGTACGATTGATTTAAAATTTTGTATGACATTTTTCTCTTTGATGGAAAAATACTCTTTCATGCCCAAAGGGGTAGGATAGAGAACATAGAACAGTTGGAGGTGTGTAATAGATTTGATACCACGTATACGTCTGTATCTGTTTAGTCCACGAAATAAACACAAGCAATTTGTAACATTGGATGAAGACAATCAAATCATGTTTGTGTTCAGTCTTGAAATATTGATTTAATACTTAAATGCAGAAAATTGTGTGTGGATTAATTGATAATGTATTCTGCTCTTTTTGTGTTTGATAAGTTATAATATTGTTTTCCTTGTTGTCTTTTTTTACAGCCACAAGCCAGACCTACGAACGCCCCCATGCACACGCCTGCCGTATCCCTGACGACACCCAGTATTCAAGGTTCTAACTATCCGTCCCCTCTTCCTACCACCTACCACTCAAGTAAGCCCAATACGCAGTGCTTATTGCCATATCTGTTATTATTACATTTACATCCTACCGAGCTCTACACCAGCTTAGATTTTGGTGGCCATGCTGATTTGACCTCTTTGAAATGCTTGGGGTATTCGCTCACCTTGGTTTTTATTGATAATCAAGTCTTAATTAAGTCCTGTTAGAACAATCCTCATTGGCTGAGGGTATAATCAGAAATCCTGTTACACTGTTTCTCATTAGCTGAGAATGAAGTCTAAAGATATGGTCTTCCCTCTTTATTAGCTGGAATTGAAGTTGTACCTACAAAACATTACATAGATGTCTTATTTCATTGTGGTTTGTCTGTCCCTGTTGTCCATATAATCCTAAATAGAGTTTGCTTCTATGTATATCAAAGTTCGTACAATGTACAGATTCTCAAAATATATCTGTTGTAATGTTTTAAAATTCTTCTACATATATGTTTAATAATTGAAATTGTTATTTGTTTTTCCAGACGATTATCCTGTAAACAATTCCGACATGAGTGTTCCAATGTCCAATTATTCACATCTACATTGGAGTGGACAGGGGTCACTGTGTTCAGGGATCCCTCCTGGGGGCCTACAAGTACCGCCTGGGTAGGTGTTGATGCAACACTCTCATATTCATGGCTTTCTGATGCTTAGAAAACTATTGCTAGAGTTTATGTAGATACTTGAAAATAAAAGATTGACTCTTACAGTATAGAACACTCAAAGTTTGTGCTTATAAAAATAGAGAAAAGAGTTTTTTAGTAATGTATAAAACAGTAGCCATCTTGTTTCTACAGGTCGAACAACCCTGGCGGCGGGCACCTATCTCCTCTGGCAATCAACACAATCAATCACAACATGCCGATGCACATAAAGAGTGAGCCTATATCGCCACCACGCGATTCGACGACACCATCTAATCTCCATTCACTGCGGCCTCCGTCATCAGGTCAAGGCCATCTATCACCTGTACACATGAATCACACGCATAGTAACAATTCATCCCCTAACACAAACTCACAGCCACTGGAATATGATGGACCTTTATTAAAGCGTACTCGTGTAGACCATGGATGGACAACCTGAGACCCTGTGTCAAATATAGGGGTCACAAAATGTCTCTCATCTGTAATATATATAGATATATAAATAAACTTGTATGTGAGAGTGACATCTGGTGCCAAGGTTGCTGGATCTCCTGAGGTTTAAAAAGTGCGAGTTCACCAGACTCTGAGGTCAGCAGGGCATGTCATGTATATAGAAGTATATAATATAGAAATATTGCTGGGTAAAACCCAGAAAACATACCTGGATACTTGACCTTGTCCTGACCTTGAATAGACCTTGGCCTTTACCATGTGGAAGAAAGAGATTTGGACCCCTTTGCTACATATATTTTTTGTGTTACCATGGTTACATTTTTAAGTGCATGTGCCTTCATCCTGGTGTATTCCATTGTACATAGTGACCATGTTTGTCGACAATGTTCCCTTCACTGTCACCCATCACCAGTCATCAGTTTTGGTATCTAGATCAACTTTATAATTCATTTTGTAAAAAATTACAATTAAAGATGATGCCATATCTATACAGTCATGAAATATGAATGGACCAACATGGTTCTATTGTCATAACCACTGTAACGGTTGTATATGTAATGTTAGTGAAGGGAGATAACTCTATGTGTTGTAGGTATTTGTGTTGATGACTTGTGTAGTCACTCTCTATGCCTGAAAATCTATCCCATAATGTACGGTTGAATAATGTTCCTTCAAAATTTTCCGACAATAATGTTGTTAAAATATTAATGAAAATATTTATTTTAATGTGGAAAGATTTTACCAGATGTGCAGGATACCATGTGTACCCCTGAAATGACTAATGTATGAGATGCAGGTCTGGTATAATTTGGTGGTGAGCTGTAGATGCACTGGTTGGCAGCTACCCCAGTGATAACAAGTTCTATGTAAATACAATGGATAGGTCTCAGACGTTGTAATAGTGCTTCTATACAATAAACAGAGATTTCCCAGAATAAAGTGCTATTTGAACATGCATGCTGCCAAAAATGGAAATCTGCATTAATCAAATGTTATCCAATGTATGAAATTGTTTTGTTGCCTATTTTTGTATGGAAATTGAAAGATTTCAATGAGACAATCCTGTGAGAGGTGTTTTATAAATTCTGTGATGACAGTCATCCCTGTTGTGACCCCCTGCACAGTGTTGTCAGTGGTATCGGGAAGGTGTTGTATGGGTATCGTGTCACGAGTCAATACCTTACACATTTCAGCTGTAGAGGGATCCTCAGACATCTCCTCAGTCACACCGTGTTAATAAAGCTACATTATTTACCTGCATTAATCAAGGTATATATACCTAGTTGATTAGTTTGTTATTTTATTGGGAATGTCATTCTATCAACAATTCTATACACCCTTGGTTAACTAATGGTTGGCTTTACCAGTTTCACTTTGTATAAATCTTTATTAATTTGTTGCTCTTCACAATGTAAATCATAATTAATTGATGGTTTTTCATCTTCTTGAGGGTTAACCCAAATTCAGAAAATCTGTGCTCATTTTGAAGTATTTTATTAGTCCAGAGTCAACATTTTTTTTTTATTCTGATGGCTTAGACCATGTTTAAGTTTTATTAGATTGCTTTTGAGGTGAATTCTGCAGGAAAAGTATGGCTGACCAGTATACTTTCACAGACAATGATATTTTAATCTATAAATTGGCTGGGTATATAATATCAAGGGTAATTATGATAGTCCAGTAGTTTTTTGTTTGCGCTGTTGTGTGTTGTGGTGCCTGGTCTGTCTTATGGTGTCTGTGATGTGGTGCTTCGACAGAGATGTGGTCTATTAGCATTGCACGCCACATCTGTTACGACCCTTATCAAAACATTAGCCTGTACATATGTCATTGTAATACACTTTTATATTGCAGGATCAAAATGTTTCTCACAAGTGCCTGCCCAAAAACTGAAGTGCTACTAAATTTGTTAAATTATAATACACCCACCAGAAGCAGATAATGTCAACATATCAATAGGTCAGGTCTCCATGGAAACCGATACCCCTTGACCTTGGGACGTAGGCATTACAACTTTGAATTTCCAGGGCGTCCTGAGCCCCCTGGAGTATCAGCCTTATAGCCATAAAAATACGTACACAAAGGAGGCCAATGTGTAAACTGGTTTTTTTATATCATGTTGGTGTACATTGATGAAAATTTTGTACTGAATTGGTATTTATAATAGCCATACTTCAAGGTCAGGGTCATATTAATTTCATAATGGGTTTAAAATTACCTTTCTTCAAGGTCATGCTGAATTCAAAACTCTCATTATCTTCCTTCAAGGTTAAGGTCATATGAAATCTTTGAATGATCCATCTTTTAAAATCAAAATTATACAATTTCAGTCCCATTTTAAATAAGAATCAAAATTTAAGGATAAATATTTAGAAGATTAAAAGTATTTTGCTTGTTGAGTATCTTCGTTTATGATATAAAGAACCTGAAGTTGAGTGTTGGGGACCTATTCTGCAGTGATCAGTAGGGGCCAAATATATCAGTACGGTACAACCTCAGGTGTCATGGCCGACACTCGTAATCAAAGTCTCTTTATATTTAAAAAGAAGTCATTATTTTTATGTACACACTGATAACTATTGTAAGCATACCTGTGGAGTGTTGATTGGCGAGTCATCTCACATGTGTCTGTATGTAAACTAGAGTTCACATCATCGCCATACTTCTATCATAGACCAGATCATGATGTTTTCTCAAAACAAATGCAGAAAATAATGCTTTGTGCCAAATGTGTAAATTGTGAAAGATCCTTGAACATTAATATCTTATTAGACAGAAGCATTCCTATCACACAGCTCATACCACTTAGTCTTGTGTACCCCTATTTACCCAGTGTTGTCACAGTCCTGTGAAATCTTCACGAGGTCACCTTTGTTTTCCCAAAATACTTCCATATACATTATCCTGTAGTCTGACCTTGACCACTCACCGTTCATACCCTCACTAGCCAATAGTCTAACTTGAATCCCTCACTCGCCTGGAATGCCTTACCCTTCAGTGTCCAAACTCGCCACTGAGCTGGCATGCATCAGAATATGTAATTTTGTAATTCAAAATGGAAATATACTCTATGTAGGAAATAATCTCACAAATGAACTATTGATAGGAAAAATATTATTTCAAAAAAGTGAAAGGCCAAGGTTATCTTGTATTTAACATTTCAAGGTCAACAGGGACACATTAAATTGTTATTGTAAATTGTCAATCACCGTTTTACTGCTATTGTTAAGTTATTTTCCCACAAGCTTCCACTGCATATTTTTGAAAAAGTAAATATAAAAGCAAATAGCTATTATTTTACAGAAATGTTTAATCAAAGTTTTGAAATGTGTCATTCTGGGACAGTAGTTATGAGTGTCAGATATCTGTGTTTGTAACATTGTGGGAAACTCTGATCGACGTCCTCCCAACATGGTGTAGTCTGTAACGTGAGGTTAGACCTCCAGGATAAACAGGTTCAGCGGAATGTATAGTCATGCATGATGACAGTGGTGTAAGTGGAAAATGTCATAGAATCACTGGTAACCTGTTGTTGGTGTATAACTTGTTGGAATGGCAGTACAGGCTATACAACAATGTACACGAGTTGTTACTTTAATCATAACTTTCAAAACTTTTCTATCAATGAACCAGTGAGCCTTTATGGTTCTTCAGGTAACAGTGACGCCCTTACTCTGTCAATAGTACCAGTACTCTGAATACTGTCCCAGTACTTTGCATACTGTGTCAGTACTTTGCATATCAAATCAGTACCCCAAATGTTGTATCAGTACCCAGCGTATTGTACCAACACTCTGTGAATGGCCCCAGTATCTTTAATATTGTTTGCAGTATCTCGCATATCGTACCAGTATCCCGCATATCGTAGCAGTACCCTTTAAATGGTACGATTACCTTGAATATCGTCTACAGTGCCCCGCATACCATATGCATTTATCCTACATATCGTAGTGCCGTGTCATGTCCGTGTCTGTTAATAAACCAGTGTACAAACGATTGAATGGCTGCCGTAACCTTTGACTACAGGGGTACATAAAACTAGATCATCCCCATCACAACAATGCTATAGAAAGCTATATCCTGAGAGTGTTGTTGATTGTACATCATCTGTAACATGAGAGTTTGGGATTAAGGTGATACAGTGACATATTTTACTCTTGCAAGTTGTAATATATTTGTGCTTGATACTTAATTTATTGTATGTTGATTCATTTCATGCAGGAATTAATTTGTTCTGCACATATTGTTTTATTATTCTTAAAAAGTTGGAAGACTTTTTTTCATGTGATCACATTAAAGGGAGCACCCTTGTACCAAATGTGTATAGTCATCTACTTTGGAGAGTTAATATCTTCACATTGACGAGTAAAGAGCACCTCCTATACCACAGTGTATATCACAGAGGAGTTGTCTACCTTAGTTACCTAGACATTGACGGGTACAGAGCACCTCTTATACGACAGGTGTATAGATCACAGAGGATTTAACTACCATAGAGAGTGACTTAACTATTGACAGGAGCACCTCCCGTATCACACATGTATATATCACTGAGGAGTTGTCTACCTGAATTACCTAAACATTGACGGGCACAGAGCACCTCTTATTCAACATGTGTATAGATCACAGAGGATTTAACTACCATAGAGAGTGACTTAAGTATTGACAGGAGCACCTCCTGTATCACACATGTATATATCACTGAGGAGTTGTCTACCTTAGTTACCTAAACATTGGCGGGTACAGAGCACTTTCAATACCACAGGTGTATATCACACAGGAGTTGTCTACCTTAGTTACCTAAACATTAACGGGTACAGAGCACCTCCAATACCACAGGGGTATATCACAGAGGAGTTGTCTACCTCAGTTACCTAAACATTGACGGGTACTGAGCACCTCTTATACCACAGGTGTATAGACCACAGAGGATTTAACTACCATAGAGAGTGACTTAACTATTGACAGGAGCACCTCCTGTATCACACATGTATATATCGCTGAGGAGTTGTCTACCTTAATTACCTACACATTGACGGGCACAGAGCACCTCTTATTCAACATGTGTATAGATCACAGAGGAGTTGTCTACCTTAATTCCCTAAACATTGACGGGTACAGAGCACTTCCAATACCACAGGTGTATATCACAGAGGAGTTATCTACCTTAGTTACCTAAACATTGACGGGTACAGAGCACCTCTTATACCACAGGTGTATAGATCACAGAGGAGTTGTCTACCTTAGAGAGTGACTTAAGTATTGACAGGAGCACCTCCTGTATCACACATGTATAGATCACTGAGCTACCTTAGAGAGATACGTAAACTAAATACTACGTTGACGATATAACATTCAAATATTGACTATACATGTATGTGTAATGTGTGACATAAGCTGGACTTATGTTTGTTTTTCCTCATTTTTACATATTATTTTGCTATAAAGTATTTGTTAGTTTTGTGGTTTTTTAGTACTAAGTTGTTGTTAGCTAGGACTCACTTTCAGATGGAAAAACGAGTTTATCAAAAACATTACAATGAAATATTAATAAGCTGTTAATTAGTCATGCCTTTTCATTGGAATCAAATGACATAAATAAATGAAATTAAGATTGGTATTTCAAGCTTATAAACGTCATAATGATCTGATTTATGAAGTTCAGATTGAGAATGTTAAACATTAACTAGTGATGTTAGCCGAGGGGAGATAACTAGTGATGTTAGCCGAGGGGAGATAACTAGTGATGTTAGCCGAGGGGAGATAACTATTGATGTTAGCCAAGGGGAGATAATCTACTTGTAGTTACTCTATGCGTGCCATACTCCAATGCTAAACAAACTAAGGTTGCTTTAATTATTAGAAAGTTTTAAGATTTTATAAAGTTTTAATTCAACTGTCCAAGGATTGGATGATTGTAAAACACTCTGTAATTGTACCATCCAATGGTCAAACAAACATTTTCCAACATAAGTTTCTTTGTCTTGTGTTTTTACAATAAGGATATATGCTGCTACACAAACAATCTATACCTGCTTTTGGTACTTTTTTCCATAAAAAGTTTAAATAGCAAATGCTATTCAGAATTACAAACTAATATGCGTTATTAAATTTTATTCAGAATTACCAGACTCCAATAAGGAGTATTACTAGCTGCTCATAAAGTCTTGCATACCTGTCAGGTCAGTTTATCAATTTCAAATTAAGTTTCATAAAGTTTCCTTATTGTAACTCTTTTGGAAGGAGTTATGAAAGTAAGGTGACATATATCCTTAACCGAGTAAGTTTGGTCCGTCACACTGACATACAGATAGATTTGGTGAAGCTGTATACCACATAGTTGATGTTGATTGCTCGTTTTACTTATCAAGAGTGTTTGATTTTACAGATTTCACTGGGCAGTGTTATATTGATAATAAATATGTCAGGTTTGTTATTTGTTACAGAGCAGTCTAGTACTTGTTAGATGATTTTCATTAGGTCTTGATCATTTTATACCATAGCAATGATATTTTTATATTCAGGCTAAAGTTGAATACTGTGTTTGCCTTTACCATAACAATGAAAGTTGTCTTTGTTTTTTCAAAATTAATGTTTTTGTTTAGATGGTCAGAGTTAAAATTAATTGTTAAGTTTTATTGTAAAAATTTGAAATGGAATTATTTCAAATGTTAATTTTGAAAGAGTTTTTCATGTTGGTTATCATGCTGTAGGTCATTAAATTTGTATCCAGGTTTTGGTTTTTTAACAATGAGACTATTTTCGTGCAACACTATGACTAAATGCTGACTGAACTGCTTCTCGTTTGACATTGTGTGTCTATAGTGGTGTAATATGTGATTGAAAGGATGTTCTATATATAGATAACAAATTAGCATAATCTACCGGTTTATTAAGGCTATATATACATTATATAAAATGTCACTTTAATTTGTATTCTGGGATAAAAAGAAATCAAATGTTTAAATATGTATAATTACATATGCTGGATCACATGGTTTGTATATCATTTTTTGTAAAAGATTATTTGAAAGGGTAGCACTTCCCCTGACCATTTGTTAGTGTGAGTTAATCAACGACTTATTCACACACTGTGTTGTGTCCGATGCCTTAGATACTGCACAGACCCTTTGGGACGGTTATGTTAGTATGATGACACAAAGCTATTCTGCCTTACCCTTGTACCACCGTCTCTCTGTAGGTCATCATCATGTCTGTGGCTGTTAGATAACTATTTTTATGGATCAACATATTGCTGTGTGTTGTACCTGTTTTTATTGCAAGATATCCTGGTCATTAAATTGTTGTAACACAACTTTTCTTGTTGTTTATTTACTGAGTGAGAGTCAAATAGAGAGTCCCACCACTATTTCACTACACAGGCATTGAAAAACTATTTTCAAGATCATTTTATGGGTTTTTTCTCCATGCTCATGAAGACAATTAAAGGTTTCAAGACTATTAAGGAATTATAACATTTTGAAATTATTTCCAGCAATGATGCAGAAATGTATTAACATACTAAATAACTAGACCATTAACACAGACATAAACTCTTCTATATAATCAAGAGGCCCGGGAATCAAATTATTATGTGAGCAGAAATGATTTTCTGAATAAGAATATCACAATAAAATTCTGCCTTTCATATAAAAATATTTGCTCTTGTAAGTGGGCAAGCAACTCTGTATCAGAAGAATGCCAAACAAATTGGAACTCTTTTTTGTTGGAGATTCAACACAAGGTGCTGGGACTCTCTACCTGAAACTTTTATGTTTTGCATTAGTGTCAAGTGTGTGCTAAGCTGATGTAGGTACCAGCTTTATAACAATACTCCATTGGTGGAAGCAGTCCTCAAAATGGATCCCGTACGATAATGCTTGAAGGAAAGCTTTGGTTTTTATGAAATTTTCTACACATACCAGTAAACAAGACCGAAAAATCAACATGGCCACCAGTTGCCATCTTGGATTTTGGAGAAAGGAAAGATAAGATTTTCTTCAACTTTTCACACATGCCTTTAGTATCAATTATCCCTTCAAGTTTGATATTAGAGCAAATTTGAAAATCAAAATGCCTGCCAGCAGGGGCAGGCTACACATCTTTATCTATGGAATTCTTCTTTTAGGCGTTGTCACCTACACTGTTGTTGTTTTCACAGTGGCAAATAGGTTGCAAGAGAATTGACAGAATGTGTTCAGAAAGTGAACAAAACAAAAATGAAAGATCTGATAAATAAAGAACGACTACCTGACTATAAAGGTACAATGAAAATATGTTTCATACCTGCCTATGATGAATGGTCAAGAAGGATCAGTCACCTGTCTATAAAGGTCTGGTAATATAAAATGGTATGTGTTACATGTCTATATGGTCTGATGAATAGATACTATATACTTGTCTATAAAGCTCTGGTTAAACACAATTATCTATAGAAGTATTCATAATGGAGATGACAAACTTGTCTATTAAGGTTTGGTCAATAGAGATCACACACCTGTCTATATAGGTGTGGTTAATAGAGATCACACCTATCTATATAGGTCTGGTTAATAGATACCACAATTATGTCTATATAGGTCTGGTTAAAATAGACCACACACCTGTCTATATAGGTGTGGTTAATAGAGATCACACACCTGTCTATAAAGGTCTGGTCAATAGAGAGCACACCTGTCTATAAAGGTCTGGTTAATAGAGACCACACACCT